GGGCAGTGTCACTGGCCCTCATATGTGGGATCCGAACCGGGGCCCTCTGGTGTCCCAAGCCAGTTCTTAACCATCGCGCCACTCGGCCGGCCCAACATGAGCTTTTTTAAGTCTGCTGAATTCCTACTCATTTGCTTTCCAGCATTCAAAACTGTTACCGTGACCTCCTCCCTGCTCGACTTCTCTTTGTCCTCCTTGTGGGCAAAGAATGAAGAGCTGAATCCTTATCTTCTGTATTGGGAAGTCAAATGATAACACCTAAAATGAACATTCAAGGGATAGCATGGTGTTCCTCAGACATATGGAAGTAAATATCAGAAGGATCATCTAATATAAAATGGTTGGTTCCCAGGAACAGGAAATGATGGGGTAAATGGTGGGAGTAGGTACTGAGACAGCTGTTTCAGTCAAGACTTGTAGAACTATGTATTTGACTTTTCAAATTATATCATGCATAAGTTAGATGAAAATAAAAACTTTAAAAGCAGGCAAAGCAATACATAAACAGTTTATGGACCCAGAGCTGCATATACATATATAAAAGTATAATGGACTGGAAGGAAACTCACTAAACCAAACAGTTGTTTTTCTGTCACGGAAGGGGAAGGTGGGAGGAAAAATAGGATGGGCACTATAGTAAATGAGAACTTAAGCTAAATCTGTTACACTTCCTTTCTTTTTAAAAAATAGGGTAGAGGGGTGGCCGGATAGCTCAGTTGGCTAGAGAGCAGTGCTCATAACACCACAGTTGCCGGTTCAATTCCCATATAGGCCACTGAGTTGTGCCCTCCACAACTAGATTGAAATAACTACTTGACTTGGAGCTGATGGGTCCTGGAAAAACACACTGTTCCCCAATTAAAATAATAATAATAATAATAATAATAATGTAGAAACAAATATGATCAAATGATTTTTAAAGAGTTATTTCTGAGTAGTTGGAAAATATGGGTGTTAATTAGGCTTTTTGTACTTTTTTATATCTTTCAATTTTTTTTTTATTAAAAAGACAAAAAAAGAAAAATTCAGGCAGAGGAAGGGATGGGGCAGTGGACAGACTGCTTAAAAGAAGATGGGACCAACAGAGGCAGGTCTCACAACCAAGGAAGATGGACGACTGAGTTTGAGTTTGAGTATTCTAAGAGCCTCCCAGAGCAGTGAACACATGGAGACCTGTTCTCAGGGCAGCAGCTGGGCCACAGAGAATTCCCCAAACTAAGCTCCTGTTGGATCCTGAGGTGTTTCTTCCAGGGATCGAATTCAGGAGCTTTGGTAGGAAAGTGGCCTCTATGGCTCAGTCATGAGATCTGGTACTCCTACAAAAATACTGCGAGATTTCTTGGTTGGGGTAACGTCTATGGTCCTGGACTTCCAGCTGCCACCTAATGTCTGCATTCACAGGTGGGCTGACAGTGCCCTCTCGTGGTCATAGTCTGTTAACCTCCATAGCCAGACATGTAAAGGTAACATTTCTCAGTGTTTTAAAGCTCAGAATGAACTCCCCATACATCCCATTCCCCATCCTTTACATTAAGTATTGCCCATTAAAGAAAGAAGGGATGGAGGGAATGTCCATGGAGATGAAAAGAAGAAAGAACACTGTTAACATTTTCCCTTATTTCAGAAAAGATTAGACAACACAATCTAGTTTATTGAATACTGTTGTTGATAAAGGTAAAAAAGTGCTGTTCTGCTGAGATCGGTGACCGCTAGACTGAGCGAGTTAAGCAAGGAATACATGGCGGCCAGAGGGAACACAATACCTGGATTGTGAACACAATTCCTGGATTGGAATACCTGGATAGGACAAATCAAAGGTCAGACCTGAGAGTGGAGATCTGGACTCGAGTCAGGAAGACCCCCGCCTGCCACTTACTAGCTATGAGGTTGTATGCAAGTCATTTTGCTTCATTGAGCTTGTTTCTACAAAAAACTAGCTCCTCTGATCCCTCTGAATTAAACAAGAGGTGGTAGAACGCAGTGGTCAAGAGCCTACTCTGGAGCCAGAGTTGGAAGGGAATCCAAGCATTACCACTTACTGTGTGGCCTCGGGCAGACTACCAAACCTTTCTGTGCCTCACTGTCTTGGGAATGAATGTTAAAATGCCTCATAGGTCTGTTGCGAGATTCAACAAGTTAATGCATGTAAAGTGCTTGGAAGAGAGCCTTGCAAGCATTCAGGAAGAGTTGGCTATTAGTACTATTTTAATAATACACATGTAAAGTACCTAGACTACATCAGATCAGAATGTTAGTTCCCCTTCCCCTGGAATCTGGCACTGGGCAAAATGCTTCTGTTCCCATTATGAGAGTTATTCCCCAGACAAGTCTGGTCAACACTCCATAATACCCTCCATGTATGTGGGTACCCCCCTTCCCTCCCCAGATCTCCTTTCCACATGACCCTGAGTTCCCAATCTTCTACTGACATCTTTTTGGAGGAAGTGGGGCTAACAGGCTTCCCTCAGGGAAGTCTGAATTCCCTTGACTGCCCAGGGGAGAAAGCGGTGGATCAAATGCACTGATCCCTTTAAAGAAGGAGAGAGGCCCCCAGAGGTGGGGCCCAGGGTTGCCACAAGCAGCCACGCTCATCTACATGAGCAGGGGGACACTTGCTTCCAAACTGTCACTCTAGGGCCAAGCTGCATGCTCTTAATCATCTAAGATCAGTGCACAGTGAGGCAGCTGTGGCCACGGAAGAGCTTTTGTCCATATAGAGCCAACAGGTCAGGAAGGACGGCCAGCACATTAAGCTGACATCAGCCAGACAGCTGACTGTCAGTCATGACCTCATTAGCACCAAGCTCTTGGCCTTTCAGAATAGCCTGAGGAGGAAGTAGGAGATAAATGAGGTCAGGACCCGGTAAACAGTTAGGTAGAGACCAGGGCCTATGAAAAAGAAGCACACCAAGAGTTTATACAAAAACCTTTTATTTACTATTTATATTTCTTCTCCCCATCCCTATCCCCTGATCTGGAACCCAGCCAGCTCCTAAGGCTTCTTGCTGCCTGGTTCTTGAAACTGGGGCCCTGGGGACATGGCGGGGGCTTATAAGAGGTGGGAAATCTCCTCACCCACCAGTTGTGGAAGTTGAAGGAAGCTTTCCCGCCTGCCTGAAGTTCCAGCAGCTTCCCAGGGTAGCCCCTCAAGTCGGAGAATCCATCCTCCGCTGGATGGGTATGAGAAAGAGATAACACGTGTCTCTCGGAAGCCCAGAGGCTCCCATCACTCACTGCTTCTACACAACGCCAGGCTCTATAGCTGAATCAATCTCATGGAGATGGAGAAGGCTGCACTTCTGGGTCCTAATCAACCAATGGAAAACAGGAAGAAGCGGGCCTGGTTGAACCGAGATGGGAAAGGGGAAGGAGGGTGCAGAACACAGGATGGGTTACTGGCCTGGGGTGGGGCCAGCTGGATACCTGCGAAGAGAAGTTACAGCTCCTATGGGAGTAGGTACTCCTAGAACCATAACCACCTGGAAGAGGGGGAAAGGAGCCCAGTTCTCACTTAAACAAAGGCTAGTGGCACAATAAACATTTTGGTCTGAGAGTGCCAGGAAAGGGCACCCATTGGCACAGAAAAGGGCAGCCAGTACTCATCTGCCAGATATGGGTTTACCTGCCTCCCTGGCCACCAAAGCCCCACTCTGGGTACTGTCACCCCTACCTCTGCCATTACTGCCCCACCAGAAGCTCTGCATACCCTGTTGCAGACTGGTGCTGCTCGCCAGACTCCAGCTGGTAGGGAAGAAATAAGGGCATGAGCTCCAGGGCCCTTCCCTGGGTGAGGTCCACCCATGGATTTGTCAGGGCTCTTTCCCACAGTCCGGCTGCCATGAGCCAGACATATAGAACCCTCCTGCAAGGGCACTGGGCCCTCAGGTTCTCTGGAAGACGAGATCCTGGCGAAGAACTCTCAGGGACAAAGATGAGCCTTGGAACAGTATTCGTTCCTCTTTCCTGTCCCAGGTCCTGCTCTCCTGGCTCAGAAGTCCGAGTCCGCATCCATGAGCTCTGCCTCTATCAGGTTGGTACGGGAATGAATGGGCCCCAGCACCTGCCGGCGGCCCTGGGCCCAGGCTGTAGGGGCAGGGGCGCTGGGCAGAAACGGATCCTGCAGGGGACTGGGCTCTGGGCAGAAGGGGTTGGAGACCAGGGTCCAGGCTCGCTGTCGGCAGGATTCCCCAGCTCCCCAGGCACCCGTGGCCACCAGGCACTTCTGCCGGGGCAGCTGTGGCAGTCGAGGAACAGCGCTGGAGGCAGGGGTAGGGGCAGGGTGGTGAAGCTCTGGGGGTGGCACCAGTGGGCACACCTCCTTCTTCCTCTTCCTCCGCTTCTTCTTCCGGCCCATGCGCTTCTCCAGCTCTGGGGAGATCTCTGCCTCAACCAGCCAGAGGTTGGCTTTTTCCTCTGGGGGCACTGACAGTGGGAGAGAGAACATGAGCCTGGAATCCTATCTCTGTCCACATCACCCTTCTCTCCTTGGACTCCTACCCTTTGAGCTCTGGGGCCCACAACTCCAGACCTCTAGTGCCTCAGCCCCATGGCCTTTCCTTCCTCTTCCCCTCCTCGTATTCTAGTCCTAGGACCAATGCCCCCCCCATCCCTCCCCCCCCGCCTCTATGTCCCCCGTCTTCCTATAGAAGCCTGAACCCCATACCTGGAGTTGCCACAGGAGTGACAGACACATCCTGGGGTAGTATGGCTCCTCTCCGAGCCACCATCTTGGTGACATGCTGGGCCCAGGCAGAGGACACATCAGCTGAGGGCTCATTGAGGTCAAAGGCCAAACCTGCTGTGGGGACAGAAGGCAAGGAGAAGGAATTGTGACTGTTTGGTCCCTTTCAGTCACCATTCCTCCCTTATTTATTTATTTATTTATTTATTTATTTATTTATTTATTTAAAGATTTTATTGGGGAATTAGGGGAGGGGAACAGCTTTGGGGAATCAGGGAAAGGGAACAGACAAGTTGCTGTCCTTTTGTTCTTCGGTCTCATTGTGGAGGACATCGCTTCACTGGCCCAAGTTGGCACCATCATTGCGCTCTTCCCGGGCGAGGCAGATCAGTCGCCGGCTTCTGGACGGCCGCCCAGCTCGAGGTTGAGCTGTTGTTCACCATCTTAGCTGTGGAGGGTAGTGTCACTGGCCCTCATATGTGGGATCCGAACCGCGGCCCTCTGGCGTCCCAAGCCAGCTCTTGACCAACGCGCCACTCAGCCGGCCCCACTCCTCACTTATTCAGTACCAGTCACCTTCCCCCCAGCTGACGGCTCCCACTCCACGTAGCACAGAAAACCTGCCCTGGTGGTCAGAATGGTCTCTACCCACACCCAGTCTGAAGGGTGGGACCTCACTAGAGGCCAGAAGTCCAGTTCCTAGAACCCTGACTTACTCTAGTCCAGGGAGAACAACTGAGAGAGACAGGAGAAGGAGAAGGGAGATGAGTCTTCTTGGAACCGAAACAAACTATTGAACCCAGGGGCAGAAACAGAGAGCGGAGAGTGACCAGGGACATGGTGTGGACTGAAAAACAATGAGCGTGTGAGGAGAGGAGGTCATACTTCATTCCTCACAGCCTTCCAAGCAGTGCACGTGTTCACGCCAGCCTGCAGGGGCGTGGGGCCCGGGCGCTGTGGGTGTGAAGTGGCTCTGGGGGAGGGAAGCGGCGGAAACTTACCCACAGGCCCATCATGGGAGACGGTGTGCATACTGAAGGAGAGTTCCTGGCCCGGGTTCTGCAGCAGCTCTCGCCGCTTGGAGAAGGCCTTGGCGATCATCTTGCTCTTCTTTATGCGTTTGGGCTCATCGTCACTCTGCCCGGTCAACCTGAGAGCAGAACGGATAGGGGAGGGGAAGCAGGGGAGCGGCCACTTCCCGTCGAATCTTGTGAAAGACCAGCGACTCCATAACCTCTTGGAGGAGTAGAGGCCTACTCTGCAAAGAAGAGGGCCTGGAATGCAGGGCTCCTGTGTGCCCGGTTCTCAAAATCGCTCTACTTTTAGAAGATGCTGGCAGCAGACTCAGCACCTGCCTGTTTCTCCCCAGGACAGGAGGTGTCACCAGGGGGCAGTAGTGAGCCATGGAGAAGGCCGTGTTAGGAGGCTCACTCAGCACAGACCCCTAGAAATCACACCTACCCAAGGCTGTGCTGGAAGATATGGGACCAAAGCCTAATGACGGGGACACTGAGGCTGAGAGAGTAAGGTGGCGGGGTCAGAACAGGCTGGCTGCTGACCCCACCTGCACCAGGTGCGCTTCCAGATGAGCAGGGTGGCCTTGGTCCAGACCCAGGTGCTCATGGCAATACCGGTTCCAAACATGGCAAATAGGTTGATCTTCTCCACCAGGAGGCTAGGACGATTCTTGATCTCACAGTCAGGGATGGGTTTCTTGGTGGGCAGCCCGATGGTCACATTAGCCTGGCACCTGTGGTGAGAGGTGGCAGACAATTGAGGCTTTCTGGGCCTCCTGGGTGGGGACTCAGACAATCCCTAAGCACTAATTCACATCCCTGGGTGCATATTAGAGTCACCTGAGAGCTTCTAATAGCTACTGATGTCTGGGCTGTACCCCAGACAACTAAATCAGATCTCTGGGGGAGGGACCCAGGCATCGCTGTGGTTTGCAGCTTCCCAGACTGGAAGCGGGAGGCTTTCAGGAGTCTGAAGCAGCCAGGACATGGACTGGTGTCCATCTTAATGAGCATTTTAACTGCTGTTCCTGGTACCAGGAGATGCTGCATTTCTCTCAGCAGCTGGGATGCCTTACGCTCTCAGATTCGTCCTCACTGACACAGAGCACAGGCCAAACAGCAAAAATTAACAGGCTTTTAACTTATCGTAGACAGGTAACTACTTCTGTGCAGTGCTCTACAATAAGCTCTGTAAAAGAGTACATGAGAATTGAAGAGAGCAACTTCTGTGACCAACAGGGTCGGTCAAAGAAGCCAAAACATGAGATGGCTTCTTAACAGTTCTAAATGCACCTGCCAGACAGCCATGGGGTGCAGAGGGAAGGGTGGAGCTGAGCAGGGACTTGAGGGCTGTTTGCCAGGTTTGCTAATTACAGAGCAATTGACATCTTGGGCGCCCAGAGCAAGACAAGCAGTCTCACCCACCGTCTGAGGCAGGGACCCGGCACACCCCCGCTGGGCAGCAGAGGATGGCCGTCCCTGCAGCCTTGGCTCTGGCTCCCAGCACGGCTGCCCCCACGCCTCCCACCTCGCACTCACAGCACGTAGTCCCGGAAGCTACGCTCCCACTCAGCCTGGTTGAAGAAGTCATAGAAGTGACAGCTGAAGGTGATGAGCACAAAGCCAAAGGCCAGGAAGCCAAAAATTCCTGTGAAGGGCAAGGGGCGGGTAGGATGTTACCAATCCCAGGTGTGGGAGCAGCTGTGGGGAGGAGGGTGTTTGCTCCACCTGGGCCTTGAAAGACAGCTGAGTCTGGGGTGAATTCATGCTGGGCTCAGCTCAAGAACTGTAGTCTCCAAAATAAGGCATGCAGGGCACTTGAGGCAACTGTGAGAGGCCCCAGTGGGAGGGAAGCGGGCATGGGAAAGCAGCGTTGGCATGAACTGGAATTCTTGCCAAGAGGTCCCTGTCTTTTGAGCTGCTACCACCACACACACACACACACACACAC